TGTTAAGTACTCATTGTTTAATATGATAAAACTCATAAAATTAAAATTAATAATTAATAGAAATATTCTAAAGAATAAACATGGGTATTACACACCCATGTTTATGTGTCTTTATGACAAAATTGGTGTCATGCCCTGCTTAACAAGTGGGTGCACTATCTCATGAGTTCTCCCAGTAGTCTGTGTAATGTATGTTACTAATTCTCCCATCTTGAGAGGGGAGGTGAGTGAGGCTAGAGTGGTGAGGTGATTCCCAGCCTTCACATTCCTCCCAAATGGACCACTTTTTACAATCAACACACTCATACCCACCAGCATGCTGGAACAGGTGAGAAAGCCTGCATCCTGGAGCCAGCGTCGTCCTATGGGAACAGGAGGAGCAGTGTCAGTGTTTGGCTTTGGGAACACGAGGAACTGAAGTGGGCTCCTGAGGGACCCGCCCCACTGGCTGGTGTTCAGGTCCCGAGCTCAGCCCACACCTTCCTGCCTTGGTTGGATCTGATGGGTCCAGTGGTGTGTTCTGGACATGGGAGGTGAGGTCCGACAAGATAGGTCCACCTCCATAAAATAGGGTAAAATGCAATAAGAATGGGGAGAGGGAAAAAGAATGCCTCCCATTTAGGATGCTTCAGACTGCCGAACATTTCCTGAAAGGGAATTGAGGTCTTCTGGGCCACTTGCATACTCTGAGCCTGAGTGAAGATGACTTGCTGGAAGAGGCAGACACAGGGGACAAGAATATGTGCTTTTTTTTTTTTTTTTTTTTAAGAACATGTGCTTTATTGAGAAATATCAACTATGTGTATTTGGGATGATGGGGTAGCACGTAGTGGGAAAATGTGGGGATGTGGGGTGGTCCTAACAGCTCAAGGGGTCCTTCAGGCTGGATCCATTTGCCTCTAGACATTGACTTCTCTTTGGAGCCTGCTGAGGGTGGCTCTTGGTGTCTTGCTCAGGATCCTGTCTTTTGCATTTCTTGGAAAGGACTCTCGAGCAGCCGGTGGAAGGCCTGCCCCACGAGCAGACAGGAGGTTCTCTGTGGTCTGGGGGTGTCATCCTCTGGGTGTGCTGAGGAGGTGGAGGACTCTGTGATCCCTGACTTGTGGCTGCTGCTCCCCTCGACTGCCGTCTGCAGAGAAGGGGAGAATGAGTTAGATACACATAATGTCAACAGCAATGGAGTCAATATTTACTCCTTTATGGGAGTCACATCCTTTTATCAGAAAGGCGACTTCAGTGCAGTCTCAGTAATCAGAAATACTGAAAATATTCACATACACAATTTTTGGCATCACAATAGCGCTTCCCTTTGTTTCTCCCCTCCTCTCTCCCCTGTGCCCCTTGGTATTTCCCTGCCTCTCCTCCCTGAGTCCTTTCCTTGCTGTCTTAGCCTCTTGCTAGTCTTGTGCATCCCCCAGGATCCAGCCCCACTTCACAGCAGGTCACTCCCAGCCCCGTGCTGTTCACCTGCTCCCCACTGGGCCTGGCCCTTGCTCTCTGGGAGGCAGCTCTGCTCACCTCGGCACGTTCCTGTCCCTTCAGTGTCACAGGCAGCTCTGGGACTGGGATGACATCTGTGTTTCCTGATGGTTTGCACATGGGCAAGTCTAGACATGCCTCATGTCCCTGATGAGTGAGCTGGGCAGGGGAACAGCTGCTCAGCCTGAGGTCTTCGGCCAGAGTAAGTTTGAGGCAATCCCGGTCCTCATCTTTCTTCTTCCTCCGAGTTTTTTGGGGATTTTCACTGTCTTCCTTTTGGATTTCTTCATCATCCATGTAAAAGCCCTGAAATGTCTTCAGCAGTTTCACAAGACCATCCAGTTTTCCTTCAGTACATTTTGTTTCATCTTTGCCTCTATGTAGATTTTCATGAGCAGTTGATTCTTCAAAGCCATTGTCGTCAGCCCAGGGCACAGTGATACCTAGGTTGTAGATCTGCTGTGGGTCATCCTGAAGTAGCTTTCATAGGTTGGGCCATCTCTTGTTCCCTTCAGGCCCCCACCTGCCTTGAATAGCAGAGATGAGGTCACCTGAAGAACACACACTGGGAGTCATGTCTTCAGGAAGGATGATGTCCTCACAGGACGAGGGCTCTTCACTGGGGAGACAGCCCCCAGAGAGGCTCAGCATGCATTTGGTTTCAGAATTGCAGTCCTCTGTGTCAGAGGGGTCGCCGCTAGGGGATGAGGACACCATGGGATTGAAGAACCAGTATGAGAGTCTCCGTCAACACCAGAAGCTTCCAAAGGGGGAAAAAAATGGAAGATATTGGGGAGAAAATTCACTGCCAAGTCCTGGAGCATAAACAGGAGATGTGAGAGAGTCTTTAGCACTCAAGTCTCTGTGGCTAATGGTGAGGTAGGTCATAATCCATCTTCTGTGACTGCTGGTTACCATGGCAATATCCAAACCAGTCTAGCCAGACAGTAGGACTAGAGAGAAAAGGGATAGGAAACCACAGGATCTATCCCCTTCCTTCTGAAACATTGTGACCACACACCATGCAGGCTGAAGGGTCCCTCTTGAGGCCAGAAGGAGCAGTGCCACAGAGTGGGGGTTACTTTCCTCTTGTTTTGAGGCCTCTGAGATTGTTCCTGTCCTCAGGGAATGGAGACCCTTTTGGGGGAGATTGGCATAAACAGCCTGGTCTAAGACAGGGTGATAAGTGCAACAGAAGGGCTTAAAACTCGATCCTGAGAGGACAAATGAGGGTACCTCATGCAGCTAGACCCTATGTGGGCAGGGGACCAAGACAGACCTCCTGGGAAGGGGCCTTCTGACCTGAGAGTTCATGGACCACTGGAGTGGAGATGTCAAAGAGGTAGGGTGCCTGTGCATTGGGGACTGTGGCCGCTAGGCTCTACCACATCTTGTTCCCATATGTCTGGCAGCAAAGCAAGGAACCCAAGCTCTTGCCACGCATCTCTTAAATTAGTCTGAGGGTTAATTTTGTGTGCCTACTCAACCACATACTGGAGGCCCAGATGCTTGGTCAAACATGGTTCTGGGTGGCTCTTGATGAGACTAACATTTCAATCCACAGATTGAGTCAAGTAGATTCCTCTCCTGCTATGGGTGGGCCTTGTCTGGTCAGGTGAGGCCAGAACAGGAGAAAAGGAAGGGCAGATGTGTGAGCTGAAGGTGAGTGTGAGCCCTAGCCAGGGCTGCTTCTGGCCACCTGGGTGCTGCCGCCTGCCATCCCTGAAGGCTGATGCCACCTAAGCCCATTTTCTGAGCTGCTAGCAGCTGTCTGGATTAAATCGACATCTATGAACAGAGTATGATGGTGTAGGCCTGTAATCCCAATCCTCTGGGAGGCTGAGGCAGGAAGATCACAGCTTCAAGGCCAGCCTGTGAAACTTGGCATGTAAGTGACCCTGTCTCTAAATAATAAAAAAACGAGTGAGGATGTAACTCTGTCCAGAGGCCCAGGTTCAATCCTGTTTCACAGATAAACAAACATTTATGACTCTAATATTTTTCATACCTGTAAAGCATGTTGTTCAGGAGACAAATACATAAAAATTTCATCTGAATTTTAAAATATGTTTAAAAATTGACTCTAGCAACTTCTCGGGTTTCCTAGACATACTAGTGGGTCTGCTTGGTCAAAAGTACTTTTGTAACATTGCAGACACATTATTTGCCTTTCTTATTCTCATTCTGTAATTAGTTCTTCTTTCTTTCTTTCTTTTCTTTCTTTCTTTGGTACTGGGGATTGAATCCAGGCCTTCAAACTAAGCTACATAAACAGTTCTTTTTTAGTTTTTTGAGACAGTGTAAGTTGCTCAGGCTGGCTTCCACTTGCAGTCCTCCTGCCTCAGCCTCCCAGATTCCTAGGATTACAGGCATGCACCACTATTCCTGGATTTACTCTTTCATTAGTATATAATAGTTTTCCAGAGGTTATCTGAGTGATGATATTGCAGCAGATTATGAATCCAGAAGTAGATATGAAAATCCAACTGTATTTTATTAAACCGGGCATTAATGACACAGACAAAAATAATTTCTTTTTTCTTTTGGTACCAGGGATTGAACTCGGGTCCTTGCACTTGCACAGCAGGCGGTGAAACCACTGAGCTAAACCTCCAGCCCTCTTTTTTATTTTTTGAGACAGAATCTCACTATGTAGCTCCAGATGGCTTAGAAATCACAGCAATCTCCTGCCTCAGTGTTCTGAGTGGTGAAATTACAGGTGTGTAATGCCCAGCTAAGATTGGCAAAAATATTAATGCCACTATTCTAATTAACTATTTAAAAATATATGCCTACTTTTAA